ACTGACGCCCAGAGCCCAGGGGCCAGCCTTACCCAAGAGCACGAGCCAGGGGCTGCGGGGCTGCATGGCGCTGCCAGCCGAGGGCACCCTGGGCAGGGAAGAGTTTGTCTGAGCAGGCAGGCTGCTTGCTCTCAGCCCCTGGACCCCGGCGCCTCTTCCCCGAGCCCCGGAGGATGACATCCGGCTGTCTTACAGGCATGTGGGACACTGGACGCTCACGGAGCCTCCGTCTGGGCCTGCCTTTCCTCTCGGAACTCCCTCCTCTCCTCCCCCCCCCCCGCCCCCGCCATCCATCCATTCACCTTCTGTGGGTTTTCTACACTTCTCGGCCAGCTCTCACACCTTGAGCGGCACCAGACGGCCGGGCACCTGCATGCCAGTCACTGGGTATCGTGCAGCTCTCTCTGGGGCTACTGATGAAAGATCTTACACAAGGGAGAGACGCCGTCAGGCCCCAGCTGGAGGAACCAGGGGAAAACGCATTCTAAAACCAAGAACGTGGTATGTCCAGGAGAGCGTGGAGAGGGAGCGGGGAAGCCTTAGGAGAAAGTGGGCCAGGGGCTTGTGGGAAACACACCTGTGGACTTTACAAGTTCATTGGAAAAAAGGGAATGAAAGGAAATTTAGAGGGGCAAGCACTGGGCCCTGCAGAGAAGACGTCCATGTCCGCATCAGAGTGCCTGGGTCCAGTACTCAGCTCCAGCTCCTGACTCCGGCTTCCTGCTAAAGCAGACCCAGTGGAAAACAGTGAGGGTTCAACAGCCGGAGTTCCCGGGGTTGAATCCCTGCTGGGAGCTGTGCTGCAACAGGGTGAGCTGCCGTCTGCAACCCTGGTGTCCTGCATTGCAGCACCAGTTGGAGCAAGCCCCAGCTGCCTGCCCGGGCACCTGCCCGGCCCAGGTGCGTGGGGCCCTGCTCCGCACGCAGGAGACCAGGATGCAGCTTCAGACTCCTGGCTTCGGCTTGACCCAGCCTCAGCACTGTGGCCATCTGGGGAGTGAATCAGCAGATAGAAGATCTC